AATACAGAGGGGTTCTTGCTCTATGATTTCATTTGTATAAAGAACAAACAAAACAAAACATACAAAAGTGATGTGATCTCTTAAATATTGGAATAGATATAAATCTATGTCTCAACAATACTGCTACTCAAATATACCCAACAGAGCTAAACTCTTGAGGACAGGAATTTAGAGGGGACACAAGGAGCTTCTGGGAGGGTAGAATATTCTGTTTCTTGATCTAGGGGTTGTATACAGAGGTGTATTTTGTTTGTGAAATTTCACTGAGTTATGCACTGATAAATTGTGTATGTTCCTCTGATTCAAAAAAAAATACATATCAGAGATCCTAATAAAATATAGCACACTCATTACAGTCTAATCTACAAAAACTGCCACCCATGTCCAAATTTGACTTAATGAAAGCTAGACTGACACAATATTAGTTTGGCAGCAGAGATTCACGGGCTGTCAATCCAGGAACAAAAATATAGTAGTATCTATCAAATAAATGGCTGAGCAACATTGCTTTCTCCCTAAACTAAGAAACATGAAAGAGTAATGTATGATAAATAGCGTAGGATAGAAGTTATTACTAATTTCATGTTAAACACTTATCTATTACTAATACCTAGGTTAAGTGCAAGTACTAGTAATGAGATATTTGTGAAGGATATCACAATACATGAGACTTCTGTAAATCAAATCTGGAGAATATGAAATCTTCTGCAATGTAAATTCTATTATTTGAATGTAAAAATTCAAATAACAGAAAAAATGTGTCATAAGCTTGAGATTGATGTTCATATATTATTAAACCAGAAGAAATAACCCAAGATACATTTGGTCCTGGCAACTGTCATCTAATATCCATAATTATAACATTACCTTTTCCTTTACTGTGGCCATAACTTTAAGAGAAAATGCAATCTCTCCATAATCATTAGAACATGGATACTTCATTACAGACACAATTACAACCTCCATTAACAGGATAATAAACCTAAATTTATAGAAAAAATATTTTTATTCCAGTAACGAATTGACACTGTGGTTTTTGTACAAGATTATGTAGTTCTTATAGTTTCCTCCTAACCTTTCTTATAAACATGCAGGCATTATAAATGTACCTGTAATAATACTGAAAATTTAGTCTATAATTCAAGTCAGGTAATATGAATTACTTCATATTACAATTCTTAAGCATCTTCAAAACAAGATATCAAATTTTATGACTTGAATTATTCACTAACAAACATTCTGAGTGAGAGTTTTATTAAATTATAATAGGAGCCATGGAGGACTAGCATAGGGTCTAGGACCCCTTGTCTTTCTACTAACCCAGCTCAGATCTAAGGAATTATTCCTCCTCCTTGACTGACCTTGCCACTGAATGTTTCTACCCCAGAATACTCCCTTTCTAGACATAAGCATGTAGTAAGACTTCCTTTCCTTGCAGACTGCATTTCAGAGTGCAACAGAAAATACTCACTGGACTTCTTCCCTCTGCCAGGACGGTGAGTTCAGTGTGAAGGTCATGACAGCCAGTACATGAGGGAGAAAGGCAGCCAGACCCTCAAATAAAGGTCTGTGATTCTGTGACCTCACCTCCCTTCAGAACTGCAATTATCACTTTACCTGTAGGGTAAATGACAGCGAAGGCTTGGGGAGCTGAGAACACTTCTGAAATTTTGTTTCCCAATTGCTAATTACCAACACCAATGATAACTTTCTTATGTGTGTCTTCAAAGAGACTGCTGCAGTATTTGGGAAAGGCTCTTACTTTTTCACGATCCCTAGAGGCACACAGGGTCTCATATGGAAGGAGCAAGAAATACTGAGGTCTGACCCATGAAGCACATGCAGAGAGATTTGTGTGTCTCACTGGGTTCCAGGCTTCCTTGAGCTCTTCTACCCATGATCTAGTTAACTCTTAATTTTCAGATGCTTGAGCTATACACTTTAAAGTATTCAGCAGATACACAGAATCAGAAAATGTTACTGAGAAGGACATCTTAAGAGTAAAAGCAAGAACACAACATCAATAATTCACATTAGAGGTCACTGGACTTGTTTGTAAAATTAAAGGCAAAATAACTTGGAAATGATAATATAGAAATATTCTAGGAAAATGTGCTTCACCAATATTGACCCTGGCAGGGAAAAGAAATTGGGACAGAAATTTACCCCTAGAAGAAAAGAGAGATGTATAGCATTCTCTCAAAGATAAAAGCACCAGCATCAGACAGTTTAACCAGAATATTACATCATTCTTTTAATTATTACCTAAGCCAACTCTGCATCTCAATTCAAAAGCATGGAATGGTCATCAAAATTCGCAACACTTATCTTTGCCGAAAAGTAAGGAGCATTCATTGGTTATGGAATTAAAGAAAACGTGTAAAATGTAATGATCAAAATCAATCCTTTGGATCTTGCAACAGACAAATCCACATTCGACAAGGTCCACTATCCATTCCCTTCATGAGGATTTGTAGGCAAACAAACTGTAGATGGAACTCAGTCTACACAAGGCCACGATTCCTTCTGACAGCATCTTTAAGATTTCAGGTCCCCCAATTCACCCTCAGTATTGGTAATTCTCTGAAGGACGCACAGAACTCACTGAGAGCTATTTTACTCGCTCTTCTGGTTGTTTACAGGGAAAGGATACAGATTAAAATCAGCGATGGGGAGAAACAATAGAAGACAGAATCCAGGACTAGTACCAAAAACACTGAATTTTCAGTTGTCCTCTCTCCTCAGTTATATGAGACAATACTCATGAATGTTTTCATTCAGGAAAGCTCGCCCAAGCCTTGGAGACCAGTTTTTTCTGGAGCTTCAGTGCCTACTGCCTGCCTGGCTGCCTTTAAGTCTACCTCCATCAGAGGCTAAGCTGTTACTACGTGACCGAAAACTTCCATCATAAGGCAAATTTTTAGACTGTCTGATGCTCAAGCCTACAGGAAAACAAAACTAATTTCTTCAGGCACGACATTAAAAAAAACTGGGCATTGCTTTGGGTAGGTTAAGGGCAACGGCCAGACCTCACATTGGGAATGGTAAATTTTTTGCTACACAGGCCATCTCCAGGTCTCTGCCCACTACTTGTCTTACGGCAAAATGAGTATATCTGTCTGGTTTCAAACTCCTGACCTCAAGTGATCCCCCTGCCTCAGCTTCCCAAAGTGCTGGGATTACAGACATGAGCAACCATTCCTGGCTCAGATACTTCTTATCTCTTTTCATAATCACAGTAATGTTTCACTTTACTTGGATATCTCAGGCATTCCACAGACTAGTTAACAACATTGAGCAATCAATGTGAATGGATCCTGAGGTTAACATCAGATTGTGTCTCTGTATCAATGCACAATGTAGGATCAGTTTATCGGGCTTTCCCAGTCTCTGCATTCATGACTTCTCTCACTTAATCAGCTAGAGAATAAGCTACAATTGATTTTTGCTCAATCTTCTTCATTCAATATATCTGAGCACACCTGAATATACCTGAGTTTCTTTTCCATCGATTTGTTTTGTTTCTGAAATGAAGTCTTGCTCTTGTCACCTAGGCAGGAGTGCAATAGCATGATCTAGACTCACTGCAACCTCCGCCTCCCGGGTTCAAGCAATTTTCCTGCCTCAGTCTCCTGAGTAGCTGGGATTACAGGTGCCTGCCACCATGCCTGGCTAATTTTTGTATTTTTAGTAGAGAAGGGGTTTTGCCATGTTGGCTAGGCTGGTCTCGAACTCCTGACCTCATGATCTGTCCACCTTGGCTTCCCAAAGTTTTGAGATTACAGGCGTGAGCCACTTTGCCTGGCCAAGTGCTGGGATTACAGGCGTGAGCCACTGCACCCAGCCTGGATTTTTGAGACATAAAATGTAACATAATTGATCACTGAAGGCACTACCACATTCACTGCATTTATAAGTTTTTTCCTCTCTGCAAATTCTCTGCTATCTCCTGAGGGCACACATGGAGCAAGAGACTGTTCCAAAGAACTATATTCCTGTTTTCTAGGAGCCCACTGATATTTAATGATACCTGAGAAGTTAGAGGCATTTTAACACAATCGCTGAATAGTTTGCTCCTAAGTATTTTGCTTGAATCAAGAGATAAGTGGAAACTGGCTTTGAAAGAGTGAATATTACTGAGGTTTGGGATGTAGGAGAAATAAATATGCTTTTAAAAACATATACATATTTAGATTTTTATTAGATATTAAAGTACAAAGTACCTAATTTGTTGAGAAATGGCTTGAGAAGGGCAATGTGGAAAACATCAGGACATAAATATTTAAGGATAAAAGACTAGATGAGATCATGTTCAGAGAATGCCAAAACTGCAAAGATAAAGGCAAAGAACCAAGATGTTAGTCACTCAAACATTTGGTTTGGAAAAGCTCACTAAGGTGAATCAAACACTCATCAGGGAAATAAGCAGAATGTCAGATTTTGATTTCAAAATCTGTGACACTCTTTTTTCCCATTTTGTTGTCCCTAATACACGGATCCCTTGTCTTGTAACTAACAGCATCTTCTTCTATAATTCTACAATTATGTCTTGGTTAGTATCACACAAGGGGCCTAAGGGACCACCCTCTTCCTTTTAAACCAAGACTCATACCAGCTTTAAATATTACTTAGAAACGCTGCTGTTTCTTAGTATTGCATCATTGCTGTCACTGGATGAAAGATAAGACTACCCACAGACTAGAAAAATACAAAAGAAATCTACCCTACCAGCTACCTCAATTACTAACACACAAAATCCAGTCAGTCTGCCAATAAAACTTAATGTTGCTGTGATTACCTCACTTACCCACATTTTCATTTTCATGTGTTTTAGGGAAATATTTGATTAAATTTGAAGGCTCATTCCTTTTTCTTTACTACAGGTAACCACACACTGTATGCAGCTGCACGTGGGCATTGATCCTCATAGAAATCATCCCCCTATTTGGCCTCAAGACAATTCTCAGCTAGACTAGACTTGCCCATTCTCTTCCACATACCTTGCAGGGGATTCAGAACGTCCACAAATTTGGTCCACTCTGTGACCACTGTCCCCCTATCCCCCTTCAGCCAATTCGCCTTTGACACACCTTGATGGTCCTGAAGAGGCCCTCAGAGATACTCCACGATTCCGCCCTAAACTCCCAAGAGATTGTATTTTCTGCTGAATGGAAACCGACGCCTCCTAAGAGGAACTGCAGCCATGATGCTTCTTCCTAACGGCTCAGTATGGCGTAGAGCGCGCGGCCATCTTCTTATTATTTTGCTCACTAAAGTTAAAAGTTTTTATAATTTTCTGATAATTTATTTAGTTTGCTCAGTGACTGAGGTGCCCTGAAATTAATTCCCTGTCTTCCAACGCCGTGGTAACAGCCCTTCCTTCCGGAGTCTCCGGTGGGTGTCGCCGAGATGGGCGTCACCGAGATGGGCGTGGCCATATACGTCACAATACGAGGCCGAGGGAGGAGCTTGGACGTGTGGGAACGTCTGGTTTCCCCGCCCAACGCCAAGGGCCCGCAAAGGCCCTAGCGACGAAGTCGGAGAGAGATGGAAATCGTTTTGGGTTCAGGCTCAGCGTTTGGTCCCAGTGTTCGATGGAGACGGGAGAGACTCAGGATCAGGTGTGTCGGGGTCTGGGTGTGGCTCTAAGTGAAAGGCCTGTGGGGGGTCGGTGCAGGGGAGCCCCTGTTCTGAGACCATGTGGAACCTCGCGTCCTCGGGTTCTGTCTGGGTTTACTCAGTGGAGAAGCCTGGCTTTGGTGATAGGGCGCTTAGCGGTCAGTGATTAAGAGACTGGAGGATATTAACGATCGAAAGGCCAACTGTCGAAGTTTGTGGTCGTTGAGGGAATGCACTGTGAATCAGTGGTTGAGAAACGGGGTAGAAAAGTGTGTATTAATGAATGAATTTGGTGTCCAAATCGGGTTTGCAATTTAATGTGATACAGAAGCTTGGGGCTGGAGGTTTTAGTGAAAGGTTTCAGATTTAATTTGGAGTCAGTGTTTGAGGAGGCCTGTACGTGTCTGTGGTTTAGGGGCCTGAGGAGGCTGGAACTTTGGAGGCCCAAGGACCCCAGAGAGTAGGTGGGTTGAGGCTTAATAACTGACTGCTAATTACAGTTGTAATTAAAGCTACATTTACCTAGTGGGTCTATATCCAGTTCAGTTCAAGTCCAAGTCCGTCTTAAAAATAACAAACATTTGCCTTCCTATATCATCATTCATATCATTGTCTACAAACTTCTGGACGCTACTAAAGTCGAATTCTTTTCTCTCTAGTTCCCAACGTTACCATGTCTTTTTCATAAATATTTTCTTTCAGATTTATTCTGACACAAGAAAAAAATTTCTATTACCCACATTTCTGATTCCTATTGAAGACCTTTTTTTTTTTCTAGTTTCATCCTACAGTTTTCACAATTGCTACTTTGGGTAAATATTTGATTCCATCACTTAAATTCATTACAAACATACCTACATGTATGTATGCATATATAGCTCTATATGTCTCTGTATATATACATCTATCCATTCATCCATCCAGTTAAATAACTAAAGAGGCCAGGTGCCATGGCTCAAGCCTGTAATCCCAGCACTTTGGGAGGCCAAGTTGGGAGGATCACTTATGCCCAGGAGTTGGAGACCAGCCTAGGCAACATAGTGAGACCCTGCTTTTACAAAAAAATACAAGTTAGCAGGGTGTGGTGGCACGCACTTGTAGTCCCAGCCACTCTTGAGGCTGAGGTGGGAGGATGACTTGAGCCCAGGGGGCGGAGGTGGGAGGATGGCTTGGCCTCAGTAAGCCATGATCAGGCCACTGCACTCCAGCATGGGCAACAGAGCATGACCCTCTCTCAAACAAAATAAAAACAAACATTTGTTTAAATTTTCAAAAGTACTAAATAATGCAGTTACCGTTTGACAAACCAGACACTTAATAAACGTCAGCTCCAATTTTTATGAAGGTGAGGGGCGATGTGCCTTTTGAAAGAGGCAACTTGGAACTCAGTATCCAGTTAAATTTATTTAGCTGGGATGCCAACTTCTTAACGGTGAATTCAACATCCGGTCCCAAGGACAGGCCTGGGCAGCCCAATAGTGCACCCTGATTTATGTGTTCAGGGAGTAGGATGCTATGACTGCTATGATAGGATGTACAGATTCACAAGGCAAGAAGTAGACAGAATCTGAAGTCTAGATTGAAGAAGAGTCCATTTCTTATATTCTTAACTGCAGAGCATCTGTACTGAATCCATCCTGTTACAGGCCACTACTTTATGTTTAGTTCATCAGTGTATCCTGTGTGTATAAGTGCCTGCCATAATGCAAATGCTCAAAGACTGCTGTAATCACCCAATAACCCAGAGTTTGGGTTTCAATTGTGAGGCAGCCACTTTAAGGCAAATTTCCATTTTATTTTTCCTTGTAAACAGGACTGTTTCTAAAGTGGATAAATCTTTATTAGATTAAGGGATGGAACTCTGAGTAGAGGAGAGAACAAGGGTCTCAACCCTAGGTGAGAAGGAATGATGAAGGTAAATCGTATGTTCCAATTGAGCATATCACAGAGGAGCTAGGATCTTTAAAACAGTGGCAACTCTCCAAGGTGACAGACTATAGACAAATTTAAGGGTTCTTATCTAAAATATCCAAAAGGATCTCACCTTTATTCATCTTACATGCTGTCCTTTATTTTTAGAGAATGAAGTTATTTTGTTTTTTTTAATTGGGCTTATTCTGTGAATCCTATTCCTTCTCTGTTCTGCCCCTCTTATGACAGAAATGAGGCTCTATTCAGGTTTTAAAAAGTTTTTTTTTTTTTTTAGAATAGTACTAATCCTCAGAATTTCTTTCTGGTAGCTCCTTTTCTTCAACAACAAAAGTAATTCTGATCAATTGTCCACTGGGTTATTCACGCACCTTCATTCATCTTCCAAAAATCTACATATAATTAATTTCTATCTGCTAGGGTATATACAATTGCCTACAAACTATCACGGAATTTATAATTTAGGTAGAGATAAGACATGAACACTTTTTAGAAAAGTATTCATATCCTGTTTTATGTAAGGAAAATTGAGTCTTTTCCTCTTCCCACTCCAAATAATAATATGTACCTTGAACAAGAAATTATCAGGACAATTTGATCTTTATATTATATGTCTTTTTCAACTGATACAGGCATATGTATTTTTAAACTACAGTTTCAACTGATACAGGAATATGCATTTTTAAACTACGGTTGCATGTATAAACTATACATGCATATAATCCAGCTTTTTAAAAATGCTGGCTTGACATTTTGTTTTGTTTCCCACTGCCGTCATCCACAGTTCCTAGATAAAGGAAACATTTTCAGGTAAAGAAAGTGGATCACACAAACTATTCCGAATGGCGTGTATGCCAACAATAAGACAAACCATAGGGTTAGGATTAGGACTACCTTCTAAATTAAGAGCATGGCCAATCATAAGTTTTGAACTTAATTCCTCTGGGGTGATATTTATAAAGTTAAACACATCAAAACTTGTTGTGTTACATTATTAAATACATATTTCCTTTTGAAGAACTTCAGTAGTCTGAAATAACAAGTGAAGAAATTTAAAATCAAAGAAACACAAGAGATAATCATATAATGATCTTGGTTGGGAATAGAAAACTCATGCCAAAAATGGGGGAAGGGGCACATTGTGTTATAAATTTAACCAATGATGTGTAACAGTGACAACCCGTTAATTAGTCACTGACATATCAACTAGTGAGTCAAGGTATATTGTCTTAAAAAACACATCCTGTATATTATCTGCTGTATAATGATGTTAGATTTGCAATCAAAATCTCTAAAATACCCATTTCACAGGGCTTATTTGCTTCGTGTGTTCTTTCATATTTTGCTGAAGATGTTCTAGGTACTATTTTCATAGTTTTATTTCTATATGATTTTCTCTGAGGATAAGGCAGAATGTACCACTAGCAACCCTGCCACATTCACAGCCTTCAAAGGTCTTCCAACTGTTCCTTATGTAAAGCCTCTAATACCTACTGGGGTATTATTTCTGAACAAGGACTTTTCCATGATCATTATATTTCTACCAACTATAAGCTCATTGATGATCACTAATCAGAGGATCTATCTTCCCATAAAAGACTTTCCCAGTCTCTACCTCATACTAATTTTCTCTGAGTATATGCTTATCAGCCATAAGATTTTACTCAAGGGCTTTCCACCTTGAATGTATCACAGTTTGTTCCTGTGTGTGTTTTGTGACATATGATGTAATTGATCACTGAAAGCACTACCACATTCACTGCATTCATAAGGTTTTTCTGCTGTGCAAATTCTACTATCTGCTAAGAGTGAACTTCTGGCAACAGGCTGGCTCACAATGGCTACTTTGCTATCTGCTTGGAACTCACTGTTACTTAATGAAGTCTGAGCTGCCACAGAAGGCATCTGCACAGTCACCAAGTTAACAGAGTCTTTATCCTGTATGAGATCACTTGTATGTGATGAGCTATGACTTTCCGAGAAAGGATTTTCCAATTTGACTAAACCTACACATTTCTCTCTTGCATGCAGCATTCCCTTATGATAAACTAGGCATGACAAGTGGGAGAAAGCTTTCCCACAATCAGAGCATCCATAGGGTCTCTCCCCTGTATGAGTTCTTCGATGTCTATTGAGACATGATTTATCTCTGAAAGCTTTCCCACAGTCACTGCACATATAGGGCTTCTCTCCTGTGTGAATTCTCTGGTGATTAATGAGACCCGACTTGTGTGAGCAGGATTTTCCACACTCAGTACATACAAAGGGTGTCTTTCCTGTGTGAAATCTCTGATGGGATATTAAGCATGTCTTCTGGCTGAAGCCTTTCCCACATTCATTGCATACGTAGGGTTTCTCGCCGGTGTGAGTACGTTGATGAATAAGGAGATTGCCCTTTTGGATGAAGCCTTTTCCACATTCATTGCATATATAGGGTTTTTCTCCAGTATGAGTTCGCTGATGTACAATGAGATTTCCCTTCTGAATGAAGCCTTTTCCACAGTCACTGCATATATATGACTTCTCTCCTGTGTGAGTTTTCTGATGTGCATTGAGCTGTGATTTCCAGCGGAACACTTTGTCACATTCAGTGCATTCATAGGGTTTCTCTCCTGTATGAGTTCGCTGGTGTTCAGTGAGCCTGGACTTTCTGGAGAATGCTTTCTCACACAGGCTGCATCCATGTGGTTTCTCTCCTGTATGAACTCTCTGATGATTAATGAGTCGAGACTTCTTGATGAAGCCTTTTCCACAATCACTGCATACATAGGGTTTCTCTCCTGTATGTATTTTCTGATGTGCAATGAACTGTGATTTCCAGCGAAATGCTTTGTCACAGTCAGTGCATTCATACCGTCTCTCTCCTACATGAGTTTTCTGATGTTCAGTGAGCCTGGACTTTCTAGAGAAGGCTTTCCCACATATACTGCATCCATGAGGTTTCTCTCCAGTATGAACTCTCTGATGATCGATGAGTCGAGACTTCTTGAGGAAAGCCTTCCCACACTCAGTGCATTCATGGGGTTTATCTATCTTTTGAGTTTGCTGATGCTTAATGAATTGTGAATTTGTATTCACAGAATTTCCATATTTGGGGAAGTTCATTTCATTATAAAATTGTTCATGCTTGTCATGAAGGAAGGATTTTCCATCTCCATTAACTTCATCAGAATTCTTGATTTCATCCCTTTTGTTCTGGTTGACTAAACTTAAATTTGATTTCAGTATTTTCCCATGTAAGTCAAATGTATCATAATTTTGCCTTAAATGAAAATCACTTTTCCTCTGATGAATGATGTTTCCAAATGCATTATGTTTATGGCATTGTTCCACTCTCTTCAGACATCTTTGGTTTTGTGAGTGCATCTGAAAATTATTGTCAACTTTCTTGATTTCTAGGGAAGAAGAGAACAATACACCTTTCCATGAGCATGGGAAAGAACTACTTCATAAACAGCTTTGCACAGGCTGGCTCTTCTGACCACACCATTACCACGGTTTTAAAAAACTCCAAGTAGATGTGCGCATTGTCACTTGGACAAGAATAAACCATTGTAAGTTAAAGAAAACAAAAGGTAAAAGCAGTCAGTGTATAAACAAAGTAAGTTTCTCAGGAAATGGCAAGTTAATTCCCGGTCAGACTCATGCCAGAAACCTTACCATCGTCTTTCATTTGTATGTTTCTCTCATACCCTTTGTCTACTTCAATAGGAAATTCCATATGTCCTCCTTCATAAATATACAGTAATCCCTCCTTATCTATGGGTGATATATTCCAAGACCCCCCCATAGATGCCTGAAACTCTGAATCATACTAAACCCTGTATCTGTTATGTTTTTTCCTATACAGTGCATACATACCTATAATAAAGTTTAATTTGTAAACTAGGCACAGCAAAAGATTAACAATAACAAATAATAGAAGAATTATAATAGGCCAGCATCACACTCTTGAGCTTTGGAGGCCTTATTAAGTAAAACAAAGGTTTCTTGAACACAAGCACTGTGATACCATCATAGTTGATCAGATAACCAAGATGGCTACTAAGTGACACAGGTGGGGAAGGTATACAGCATGGATATGCTGGATAAAAAAGTGATTCTTGTCCCAGGATGGAACAAGATGGTGCAGGATTTCATACTCCTTGGAATGGTGAGCAATGTAATTAAGAATTATTTATGCCAGGCACGGTGGCTAATACCTGTAATCCCAGCACTTTGGGAGGCCGAGGCAGGTGGATCACCTGAGGTTGGGAGTTCGAGACCAGCCTGACCAACATGGAGAAACCCTGTCTCTACTAAAAGTACAAAATTAGGCAGGCATGGTGGCACATGCCTGTAATCCCAGCTACTCAGGAGGCTGAGGCAGGAGAATCACTTGAACCCAGGAGGCAGAGGTTGCAGTGAGCTGAAATTGCACCACTGCACTCCAGCCTGGGCAACAAGAGCAAAACTCCATCTCAAAAAAAAAAAAAAGAATTGTTTATTTCTAGAATTTCCCATTTAACATTTTCAGACCATAGTTGACCACAGGTAACTGAAACCATGGAAAGAGAAACTGTAGATGAAGGGTGACTCCTATATTCTGAAACTGACTAAAACTCGCCCCCTCTATCTAGGTGTAAGATAATCACTCTGTCTGGTACTATAGCAATAGCCTCCCAAGTGGATTTCAGGCTTCAACCTCTTCTTCTCCTATATGTTTTCTACAAAGTAGTCAAAGTGATCCTTTTAAATATAAATTGCATCATGTCACTTTTCTACTCAGAACTCCCTCATGTTTCCTCATCTCAAAATTTTTTAAAAAATCAAGTCATTAAAATGTCCTTGAAAGGTCATATATGACCTGTCTACCTCAAACTCTAGATCCCATCACACTGTCCTTATCTTCATATTATCTCCAACCACTGCCCCTCTTGTTCACTTCTCTGTATTTACACAGGCTTCCTTGAAGTTCCTCAAATACACACCTGCCTTGGGTCTTTGGACCTGCTATTTTGTCTACCTGGAAGGTAATTCACCCGAGGGACATACTCACATCTCTCTCATTTAGCTGCTCAAAGGCATCTCACCAAAGAGCCATTCCCATTCCCAGCATCCCTCATTATGCTTTGTTACTGACCTTCCAGGATTTTTCACAAGACCTTTATCTATTCTGATCAATTTCATGCCTCTTCCTTTTAGCACGTAATCTCTAAGAAGAATTTTGTTGTTGTTAATTGATGTTCACAGTTGTCAGGGCCCATATGTAATAGGCTATCAAAAAATATTTAAGGCAATGAAACAAGAAAAGTTTCACATGTACAGGACACATTGGGAAAGACTACTTCAAATGTAGTGCTTTAAATATAGTTGGCTTTGAATTTAAGAAAAGGAAAGCAAACTCTGTGTAGGCAAGATGATACTATATCATGGTGATTCAACTAGAATATCACTTGACAGAAGAGAAATTTCCATCTTACATGACTGCTATGATTCACTGGGACTTAGTGCCATCAGAAGATGGTAAGAACAGAAAAACTTTAAGGAAATAAGTCTAGCATATAATTTAAGAGAAACTAAATAATGGTATGATAGAATGTATTGTTAGGAAGAATGAAAGAAAAAGAAAACAAAAAAAGAGAAACTAAATAATGGGCAGAATTAATGATTCCAAAAGGAAATTGAAGCAAAGCAGTCATGAGGTTTAGTAATCTGGTTTGGGTTGGAAACAGAATGAGAATTCTTCAAAAATCAACCGAAAGCACAAAAACCTTAAATAAGGGAGCTGAGGAGGCAGGGAAGTTTCAAGGTAACCCCACAGTGGTCAGGATCAACTCAGGGAATTGACATGTAAGTGGGTAAAAAATATGGTAGAAACATGTAAGTTAGGAAATATTAAGGGAGATGTCAATCTGAGAGTCTCCATAGAAAATAAGAACTTAATTCATTAGAATGAAGGAAACTTTTAAAGAATATGAGAACAGAGCAAAATAAATGGAAAACAGAACATCTGGAGGACCTCAGAGTGGGAGAAAAAAGAGAAGCTAAGAAAGCATATATATGCAAAGCAACAGACCAGGTTACTAAGAGGGCACAGGGTGTAAGATAGGGTGGGAAGACCTTAGGGAAAAAAAATCAGCATTCTCTAAAGGGGCAGAAAGGTGCAGTGGTCAGGAGAGAGTGCTGAGATCCAAGATTGTTCTTTGGAGACAGTCATGGAAGGAGGAAATTCACAGCAAGGGAAGTAGAAGGAACAGGTGGTAATGCTCTGATGGGGGGAAAACAAGAAATGATGAGATTTCAGAATCCTAAAAAGGAAGAAATCCTGAGAAAAACAAATCAAACCTAGATTAAATAAAGAATGATGAGAGGCTGGGTGCGGTGGCTCACACCTGTAATCCCAGCACTTTGGGAGGCCGAGGCAGGTGGATCACGAGAGATCAGAGTTTGAGACTAGCCTGGTCAACTTGGCAAAACCCCGTATCCACTGAAAATACAAAAATTTAGCTGGGCATAGTGGCAGGTGCCTGTGATCCCAGCTACTAGGGAGGCCAAGACAGGAGAATCACTTGAACCCGGGAGGCAGAGGATGAAATGAGCTGAGATCACACCACTGGACTCCTGCCTGAGCAACAGTGAGATTCTGTCTCAAAAAAATAAAAAATAAACAGTGTTGAAATCCAAGAGGATATAAAGAGGTGGATGTTCCTCTACACACCTGAAGGAAAAAGAGCTTTTGTATGAGGATACATGGAGGCTCTGTCCACGCAGCCTTAGATTCCCTCACAGCTCAGACACCGCTGAACAACTATCACGTGACTTGTTCAGCCACCCGCCTTGCGGGCTCTGACCCTGAACTCACCTGGACAGATTTGGCTGTGGATTTCATTTTCTGTTGTCCATGGTTCTCCTTGTTCTAACATGGAGAGCACATCTGGCTTGCTGGCTTGATACCCTGTTCATAGAAAATGACAACTTAGGCTCACTGAATTGAGCTGTGGTCTATCAACATGGGACCATGTTTTGTTTTGGGAATGATGTAATTTATGTGCCTGCAAAGCAAAGGGATTTTCTCTCTAAAGGGGGCACATTATCCTCTTTTATCTGGGGCCAGGGAGGGGACAGAATGTACCACTTCAGAGCACCACAAGCCCTTCAGAGCTTCTGAAAACCAAGAAAGCAAAGGCCTTTGATTGGGTACCCTCTGACACAGGGCAGCTGTCCTCACCCACTGACACCAGGTTGCTATAGTTCTCTAACATCACGTCCCGGTACAGGTCCTTCTGAGATGCGCCCAGGAGCTGCCACTCCTCCAAGGTGAACTCCACAGCCACATCCTCCAGAGTCAGTGATTCCTGTAATAAGAGAGTCCTGCTTAGTATGAAGTGTTTCTCTTTTATTCATATGCAAGAAATGTGAAGGACATTGTTCTGCTCATTTTCACCAAATATTTTCACCTATATATCTAGGTGCTGTAAAAATATACATTGTGATAGAAGCAAAATCTATGTATATTCAAAATCTATCTCTAGCAAAATATTCTGTAACTGCAATTATCCATCATTTAACAAATCAGATGTTTCTATAAGAACTGATTATTTAATCCTCTTGTTAATCCTCTTTTCTTTTTGAGCACATATTTGCCAGGCACTAAATATATTTTAGCAATATCAGGATGAATAAAGCATATTCCTTTATTTGCAATGAATCTTCAATGAATTTTCATATGCACTATCAGAATCAACCAGGAAGAAACCCCAGACACTACAAGATATTACATGACAAATAAGCATATTTTATATGTTAGGAGGAATAAAAGAATCTTTCCAAACATGTCCAAAGAACAAGAGACAGTTAAGTATTATTACCCTCTACTGCTAAACGTGACTGGCTTAAAAAATAAATAGGCCAGGTGTGGTGGCTCAAGCCTGTAATCCCAGCACTTTGGGAGGCCTAGGTGCACAGATCATCTGAGTGGCGAAACCCCATCTTTACTGAAAATACAAAAATTAGCTGAGCATGGTGGTGCATGCCTGTAATCCAGCTACTCAGGAGGCTGAGGCAGGAGAATTGCTTGAACCCAGGAGGTGGAGGTTGCAGTGAGCCAAAATTGTACCACTGCACTCCAGCCTGGGCAACAGGCTCAAAAATAAATAAATAACAATAAAATACACAGATCAATAATTTTTTAAAAATAGATAATATTATTCAAAAACCATTCACACACATATAGTTTTTAAAGTGTTTATATTTACATTATCAGGCATATTAGCAGCATAACTGAAGAGATCTACTTATAGTGAATTGGTAAGCAGATCTGAAAAAACTACCAAAGATGCAGCAAAAGGACAGAATGATACAATATATAAAAGACAGATTAATAAAGACAGAGGCTAGGTGAGGTCTAGTATTTACTCATTGTGTTTGTGAAAGAGAAAATACAGTAATGGAAAGGTACTATCCAAAGATCTAAGGGCTAAGACAGATACATCTCTAAATATATATACATACATAGAAATATATGCAAACATGTATACATGTATGTTTATTCATGTGTCACTTAATAACAAGGATACAATCTGAGAAATGCATCATTAGGCAATTCTGTTGCTCAACCATCCCAGAGTGTGCTTACTTAAACCTAGATGGTACAGCCTATTACATGCCTAAGCTCTGCAGTATAGTCTACTGCTCCCAGGCTATACACCTATACAGCATATTGCAGTACTGAATATTGTAGGGAATTATAACACAACGGTAAGTACTCATGTATCTAAACGTATCTAAATATATTAATAGAACAGATACAGTAAAATATGGTATAAAAGATAAAAATGGCGCTGGCCATGGTGGCTCACACCTATAAATTGCAGCACTTTGAGAGGCTGAGGCAGGACTGCTTAAGCCCAGGAGTTTGAGGTTACGATAAGCTGAAAAGCCCCACTGCAGTCCAGCCTGGGCAACAGAGTGAGGCCCTGTCTCTAAAAATAAAGATTAAAAAATGGTACATCTGTACAGGGCATTTATCATAAATGGAGCTTGCAGGACTGGAAGTTGCTCTGGGTACACTGGTAAGTGAATCTGAAGGCCTTGGATGTAACTGTACACCACAGTGGACTTAAAAAATGTGTGTATACTTAAGCTGTACTAAATTAAAAAAAAATAGTGTGCTACAATGTTCCAAATCACTTGGCAATATTTTTCACCTCTTTTATAATCTAACGGGACCACTGTCCCATATGTGATCTGTCACTGACCAAAACATCATTATACAACACATGACTGTATACAGATGATATGGTTTGGATTTGTGTCCCTGCCCAAATTTCATGTCATATTTGGAAGAGGGGCCTGGTGGGAGGTGTGGATCTTGAGGCAGATTTCCCCCTTGCTGTTCTTGTGATAGTGAATGAGTTCTCACAAGATCTGATGGTTTGAAAATGTCACTTCTGCCGGGCGCAGTGGCTCAAGCCTGTAATCCCAGTACTTTGGGAGGCCGAGGCGGGTGGATCACGAGGTCAAGAGATCGAGACCATCCTGGTCAACATGGTGAAACCCCGTCTCTACTAAAAGTACAAAAAATTAGCTGGGCATGGTGGCCCGTGCCTGCAATCCCAGCTACTCAGGAGGCTGAGGCAGGAGAATTGCCTAAACCCAGGAGGCGGAGGTTGCGGTGAGCCGAGATCGCGCCATTGCACTCCAGCCTGGGTAACATGAGTGAAACTCCGTCTCAAAAAAAAAAGAAAATGTCACTTCTTCTTTCACTCTCTCTCTCCTGCCTCTATGTGAAAAAGGTCCTTGCTTCCCCTTCACCTTCCTCCATATTTGTAGTTTCCTGAGGCCTCCCAGTCATGCTTCCTCTTAAGCCTGTGGAACTGTGAGTCAATTAAACCTCCTTTCTTCTAAGCGCCATGCAATAGTGACACCTCTTGGGAACTGATCTACTTTCTCCTGAGAGTCAGTACATATCCTGTGACCAAGGACTCTCTGGATGTGATGACAGAGACATTAGACAGAAGGTGACAGCTTCTAGAACCCACAGGATGCTCCAGTCACACATTAGGTTCCAGCACTAGTCATTTTGTGTGAATTCCACTGTGCTGTTTTTACTCACACACTTCTGATACCAAATGTGTGGGCTTTTGCTCACATCAAGCAATTCTCCAATTCTCTAACATCAAGTAGGTGTCCAACAATTAGATTCAATTCTGACACCAACCCCTGGAAGACCCCATAGGTTAAGGTTTCAGTCCCACAAGACCAGCCCCATTTCAGACACCAGTTGCAAGTGTGAGGTCTCCAGGTTACAAAGACTTCTTTCCCTGGGCTACTAATGTGGGGATTTCTGCAACCGACCTTCAGGTTTAATAATCTACTAAGGAAAGCACTTTGCTATTACTGCTTTATTTACAGTTCAGGAACAGCCAAATGGAAGAGCTGCACAGGGCACAGTATGCTGGAGTATGGGGATAAACTTCATGCTCTCTCTGCATGCGCCAGCCTCCCAGAAGCTTGATGTGTTTTCCAGCCCCACTCTCCAGACCCCTCTGTTTAGAGGTTTTATCTTACACAGGCATGGGTGAATAAATCATTGGCCACTGGTGACTGAACTCCATCTCCAACATCTTTCTGCTCCCTGGAGATTAGGGGTAGGACTGAAAGTTCCAAGCTTCTAATCAAGGCTTGGTCTTTCTGGCAACCAGCCTCTACCCTGAAGCTACCTAGGACTCTACCAAGAGTAGTCTCACTAGAAAAAAGAGGACTAGGCATGATGGCTCACAGCTGTAGTCTTAGAACTTCGGGAGGCGAAGGTGGACGAATTGCTTCAGCTGAGGAGTCTAAGACCAGCCTATGGAACATGGTGAAACCCCATCTCTACAAAAAAATACAAAAAATTAGCTGGGCCTGGTGGCACACACCTGTAGTCCCAGCTAGTTGGGAGGCTGAGGGGATGATCGCTTGAGCCCAGGAGGCCAAGGCTGCAGTGAGCCGAGACTGCACCACTGCACTCCAGCCTCGGTGTCAAAGTGGGACCCTGTCTCAAAAAAAAAAAGACGCTTATAATTCAAGAAATTCGAAGACTTTTAGGAGCTCTATGCCAAGAACTGCAAAGACCAAATATCTTTCTATGATACCACGTGTGAGCAATATAGTCCTGATCCTACTTTGCCTAGATGTTGAAATCAGAATCTAAATTTACCGAAGCACAAATTCCGGTTTACCAATTTATACTTTTTCACTTAATTCAATTGACTTTTAAAGTTGCCCAGAAATCGATCATGTGATGAAGAAAAAAATAAAACAAACCAAAAGTCACCTGGGATGTGATCATTTTCTCCTGTTACCAGGAAACAGCCAGTAAGTAGGATGCTGCGTCTGTAGTCTCTCCTTGAACTGCCTTCAATTTCTGGCTAAAAATCTTGGTCTCTGGCGCATTACATCCCTGCAAAGGATCATATCCAGGTCCTGGACCTCCTCCTCACCTCACTTGATGTGTCTTGCTTCTGGAGTCAGAACCTGTGGATTGAAGAATACATTTATTTGAGTGTACATTCCCTGCAGGTCCAGGTGCTGTCATTGCTGCTGTGTACTCACCTTAATGCAAGGCCATCTTTAACTGTCCTTTTATTTGGGGCCCCAGAAGTTTTTAGCCACCCTGGGGCAACAACAAATCCTAGGGCAACAAAACATAACATTCTACATGTATGAGCAATACATCTATAACCTGTTTTTCTTCTGTAAAATGGAAGTAGAGTGACTGTGAGGGGGGGGGTGGGAACGGAGAACCAGCACCAACATGATGCTGAAACACCAAGGGACTTCCTAGATCGGGTTTTAGAAAAAGGACAGAGAAGGTGAGGATTTGGGTATTTATTTCTTTAAAACCACATTGTTCACATGCTTGATTAAAAGTCATCATACACCTCACATGTAGGCATGCCTCAGTTTGAAGACAAATATGCTAAGCCAAGCAGAGGCACTATCTTATTTGATTTCTCATTATTACCTACTGCATTATATCCTTATAAAGTAACATTAATTTCCATTCCAATATTATCCTAAGGCTTACAGATTTAACTATATTGTCCAAAAGCAGAAGTAGAATCTGAACCCACGTGGCCTGTCTCTAAGAACATGACCTTAGCCACTCACTACTGAATTCCTTTGGGCCACATGCTGTCATCACGTCTTAGCTCTCTTTGTTACTACCTTGAGGTAGTTTCATTCTGGACATATAATCTGACCTTCTGAAATCAGCGCTGCCAACAGTCACATAGGCAACTACCTGTTTCCATAAAGACAAATGGAAAAGCTGCACGCAACACCCCTGGCCTGAAAGCAGCAGGTCAGAGAGTGGCAGCCCCAGAGGCTTTCTTTAGGCCCAATTCTAAAACTTAAGTAAGAGACTTACATGATGCTCTCACCATGAGCTTTCCTTCTGCCTGGGAGGAATCATTGTGACAAGCTCTCAGTGGTCCTCCTGCATGCTCCAAACCCACAGGGCCTGCACTGACTCCTCCTCTAACCCACAGCTGCAAATGCTCCCTTTCCTTCTGCAATCTCAGAAGCACATAATTGTTGCAAGATACTTCACACTTTTCTTCTTAGAATGCCATCAGTGGAAAGGTGCAGAACCCAAATGATATAACATTCATGAGCAGAAGGCGGTAGATGCAACATTTCAGTGACATCCAGGGTGTGTATTTCAAATGGCAAGGCTTCCTTTCCCAATAGCTTCCACAGCCCTTTTCCCAGGAATATCTGAAGGCTGTTGTTCTGCTTTACAAGTTTTTGAGAAATGCCCATTACTTTTCCAACCTGAGTGAGTTCCAAAACAGGAGGGGGCATGTTGCATAGGTCTTTCAGGTAGTTAGAATAGACAACAAACAATTTTTTATTTTTATTTTTGAGACAGGGTCTCACTCTGTCACCCAGGCTGGATTACGGTGGTGAGATCACGGCTCACTGTAGCCTCAGACTCCTAGGCTCAAGTGATCCTCTCACCTCAGCCTCCCAAAGTGCTGGGATTACAGGCATGAACCACTTCACCCAGCTAAACAAAATTCTTTGTAAATAAAGTCTATTCTGTTCCCTCCAGGGCCTGAGTCCAGGATCCCACATTGGGAATGGTGCTCGCAATCTTCAAGACCATCTCAGAGGTGGGGAGGGGGTGGAGCAAAGACAAGTAAAAATGGCACAAAACTTTCCTACAATCCACCAACCACAAAAACATTATGCTAAATGAAAATGCCAGACACTCAGGTGCAGTGGCTCACACCTGTAAGCCAGCACTTTGAGAGGCCAAGGGAGGTGGACTACTTTGAGCTCAAGAGTTCAAGACCAGCCTGAGCAACATGGGGAAACCTCATTTCTACAAAAAGTTTCAAAAATTAGCCAGGCATGGTGGTGTGGGCCTGTAATCCCAGCTATTAAGGTGGTTGAGGCAAGAGAATTGCTTGAGCCCGGGAGGCAGAGGTTGCAGTGAGCCAAGAGTGTGCCACTGAACTCCAGCCTCGGCAATAGAGTGAGACCCTGTCTCAAAAAAAGAAAAAAAAAAAAAAGAAAATGCCAGGCACTAAATGTCACATTATATGATTTCATTTATTTAAAATACCCAGATTAAGTAAATGCATAACGACAGAAAGTACAATGGCCGGGTGCAGTGGCTCACGCCTGTAATCCCAACTTTGGGAGGCCGAGGTGGGCAGATCACCTGAGGTCAGGAGTTCAAAACCAGCATGACCAACATGGAGAAACCCAGTCTTTACTAAAAATACAAAAGTAGCCTGGTGTGGTGGCGTGCACCTGCAATCCTAGCTACTTAGAGCCTGAGGCAGGAGCATCGCTTGAAACCGGGAGGTGGAGTTGCAGTGAGCTGAGATCACACCATTGCACTCCAGCCTGGGCAACATGAGTGAGACTCCATCTCAAATACACACACGCACACACAGACACACACACACACACAGAGCACAAGGGTGGTTGCCAGGGTCTGCTGGAGGGGAGAATGTGAAGTGGCTGTAAGTGGTGGTTGTACAATATTGTGAATATACTAAGAGCGACTTCATTGTTGACTTTAAAATTGTTAATTTTATGTCTTGTGAATTTTACCTCAATTTCAAAAATTCGATACATCCTATAAAAGTTCTATGAAACAATAAAAGTACATTCTCTAAAGTCAAAAGCAGTATCAAAGATGAACAGGGTCACTAACACTATCTTAACTATTCTAGAAATGCTACCCAATTAGTTTGATAATCAAGTATAAATAACATTAGAGAAGAGGAAACAAATTATGTGACAGTTTTATAGATTCAATTGAACACATATAAAAAATAAATTTTTAGTCAGATTGATGATTTTATATCTAAAAATTGCAAGCATTCCAAAACAGACATACTTCTTTATCAGTATTAAGTGACTAAAGAATTTTGGAAATAACACTTTGTATTGAATACTTTTAATTGAGATATTACTAGAACCCAAAAATCCACTTTGAAAATTTTTGCAGAGGAAATAGTGATACATGCATGCAAAGTTGTTGTAAAGCATTTAGGTCTATTAATAGAGGATTAATTGGCTGATTATAAGTATGCACATCCAGTGAAGTGGAGCTATCTAGCTATTAAAAATACTTATAATCTATATTTAGTAAAAATACATGTATCTCAGCTATGTATATCATAAGCACATGAAAAGTGGCTCAACATAAGTCTCCAAAGAAATGCAAATCAAAACCATAATGAGATACCACCTAACACCCACTAGAATGTCTGCAATAAAAAAAAATCTAACAAGTGTTGGTAGGTATATGGTGGCATGGAAACCCTCAAGTATGACTGGTGGAAATGTTAAATGGTGCAGCCACTTTGGAAAAGTCTGGTAGTTCCTCAAATGGTTAAACACACCATATGACCCAACTCCATTTCTAGGTTTATATATAGTAAAAACAATAACAGCTTACACACAAATGTTTATAGCACACTGTAATAGCCGAAAAGGGGAAACAACCCAAAAGTCCATCAGCTGATGAATGGATAAATATAAGGTGCTATATCCATACCATGAAATACTATTTTGGCATGAAAAAGAATGAAGTACAGATACATGCTATAACACAGACAAACCTGAAAATCATTATGCTACGTAGGCCAGGCGAAGTGGCTCACGCCTGTAATCCCAGCACTTTGGGAGACCGAGACAGGTGGGTCACCTGAAGTCAGGAGTTTGAGACCAGCCTGGGCAATGTGTTGAAACCCGATCTCTACTAAAAATACAAAAATTAGCTGGGCGTGGTAGCATGTGCCTGTAATCCCAGCTACTCAGAGGGCTGAGGCAGGAGAATCGCTTGAATTTGTGAGGCAGAGATTGCAGTGAGCCCAGATTGCGTCACTGCACTCTAGCCTGGTCGACAGAGTAAGACTCTGTCTCGAAAAAAAAAAATCATGCTATGTGAAGCCAGTCACCAAAGACCACACATTTTATTATAGCAATTACATAAAATGTCCAGAATAAGCAAATCTATAGAGACAGAAAGTAGATTAGTGGTTAGTTACGGCAATGCAGAGATAGGGAGTGGTAACAAAAAGGTATGGGGTTTCTTTTCAGGTAACGAAAATGTTCTAAAATTGACTTTGGTGATGGCTGCACATAGTGAAAGCCACTGAATTAGATAGTATGTGATTAATAGACTTGTAATTAGGAAAAGCTGACACTAGAACTTTATGATAAACATACTGAAATATTTAGGGGCAAGTGTATGAATGTCTGCAACTTACTTTGAAATGCACCAAAAAACAAAGCAATATTTTACAAGCTGGATTAATGTGACCAGGCGAGGTGGCTTGCACCTGGAATCCCAGCACTTTAGGAGGCCAAGGAGAGAGGATCACTTGGGGCCAGGAGTTCAAGATCAGTCTGGGCAGCATAGTGAGATGCCATCTCTATAAAAAGAAAAAAATATGGATTAATGATGAGTAGAAAGATGATATATAGATAGATACGTAATAAAAGAAACACAATAAAATGATAACATCCAGGTGGTAGGCATACAAGCATTCAATTGTAAAGTTCTTTAAATCGTGTTATGTTTGAAAATTTTTGTAACCTGGAGAACAGGGAAGTTTGTTCAGTAAGGTGACCAAAAACAATGTAAATATTTTCTAAACTAATTGCTTTTCTATGTAAGAGTAAATTAGAGCAGAACAGAAAGGTTGGAAATAAAAACACACTATCTACAATTGCAAAAAAATTAAAAACCAAGGTGCAGATAAGCATCAGGGAGCAACATGTTTGGGTAAACATAGAATCATAACCAGTTCTTAAAAGTCATAAGTGAACTTTTTAAGTCTTAAAATTCTATCTAAATATATTCATATACTTAGTGATTCAAGTCACAATGGTCAGTTTTACCTCTTAATGGTATACTATTACAGAAATCTTAAAAAAAATTTTTTAAACAAAAACTGTAAGAATGTTTATAATATAAAATTAAATATGGCATATTATTCCAGTGTTTCAGCAGTTTATCTGATTTGTAAAAATCAAGCATAGAAAACTGAAATTGAAATACATAAAAATGTTATCAAAAGTCATCACTGGGGAACATATTTTGGGATAAGAGAGATGTTATTTTACTTGTGTCAGAACCTGAAATAAAGTTTACATACATTCACACAGTAAACTTGAGGAAGAAGGATGAAAATCCTTATTTTTATTAGAAGCCTTACCATTTTCTTTTGCTTTTTCCTTTTTGTTTACTTTTTTTTTTTTTTTTTTTTTTTTTGAGACAGGGCCTTGCTCTGTCACCCAGGCTGGAGTGCAGTGGCTCAATCATAGTTCACTGCAGCCTAGACCTACCCGGGGTCAGGTGATCCTCCCACCTCAGCCTCCGGAGTAGCTGGAACTACAGGCAAGGGTCACCACACCCAGCTAATTTTTGTATTTTTTGGAGAGACAGGCTATGTTGTCCAGGCTGGTCTCCAACTCCTGGGCTCAAGCAATCCGCCTACTTCGGGCTCCCAAATGTTGGGATTATGGGCGTGAGCCACAACACCAGGCCACCTTACCATTTTAGATTTGATTAATCTTTGATCTCCCCTAAAGCTTCCTATTTACCAGGATGAGAGGAAGGAGAGATGTGAGAAATCAAAGGAGATTTGTACACTAGTCCTTGTGGGGAAACTTAAAGGGACTGAGATGGAATGTACCATTTGGACCTCAACACACACACCAATCTGAATGCCCCGACTGCCAAAGCCTTCATATGCGTCTCCACGACTGTCACATCTAGACTTTGCTAACACTGGTCACACCCCCTTGGATTAATCCCAAAACTTGGACCACATACCCAGGTTCATTGACCATGAGCCCGGGCTTGTCCTCACTGAGCCACATATTAAATCCTGATTACAGCCTAAAGCGAAGCCAAAGTGGGAAGATCGTTTGAGGCCAGGAGTTGGAGACCAGCCTGGGCAACATAGTGAGACCCCCGTCTCTGAAAAAAAATAAAAATAAAATAAAATAATATGGGCGTGGTGGCGCTCACCTGCAGTCCCAGCTACTTGGGAAAGCTGATCCTGAGCTCAGTTGAAAGGTCACCTGAGCCCCGGGAGGTGGAGGCTGCAGCGAGCCACGATCGCGCCACTGCACTCAAGCCTGTGTAACAGAGCCAGACCCTGTCTCAAAAATGAAAAATAAAACCCCAAATCGGCGGCAGACACTGTTTTCCTTGACAAAACCACTCCTCACTCCAGCCCTCTATCACTGAGCCCTACAGAGTAAACCGCAAAGACACCAAACCCTGACCACGGACTTCCAAGCGTTGCTCTGGGCAGACCCTGACCACTGACCCCTGGGATCCCTCAGGGCTGACTCCGGAGGCGCCCCAACCCCAATACCCCGACTCCCTCTTGCTCCCGCTTTCCCCAAAAACTTCACGGCTACGTACTACACGGGCGCCCACAGACACCCTCCTCCCCTCCTCCAGCTCCCTAGACAGACCCACACACAGACCTGATTTTGCGGGGAACCCAGCGAGACTTCCCAGAACCTGCACTTTCCTTACTCAATTCTTCCACTTCTGGGCCCTTACCGAGACTCCAAGCCGGTCTACGGCGGCCGAAGAGAGTCTGAAGTTGCAGGTGTACGGAGCACGGACGACTGGAAGGTAAGAAGTCCGCGTCCTCTCGTCGCTGATCCTGGAGGCGGCCATCTTTAAATACTGCATGTACGGAAGGTAAAGTGGACCTTTTCTGCCCAAGTATCCAGGGATGGCTTGGGATGGTGACGAACCCCATATTTTGGCATCTAAACCCTGCGCCCCAACTTTCATTGATTTTCAGAGGCTCGAGCTTAGCCAAGACAAACATGGGACGGGCTACGTCCACCTTAGCGGGATAGGGAGAAAAGTCATCCGCTTTGCACAAAGAATGACGGGAATGACACAATCGGCGCGGCCATCTTAGAAGTTAGGTGTCCGTACAAGTGAAAACGCTTTCTCCGCGGAGGAAAAAGGGCAAAGACACCCTAAGGCGTATATCGCGAAAACGCTTCTAGCTACGGGTGGAGGGCAAGAGGGAGATTTTGAGGACAAAAAGCGTCTGGAGAAGCAATTGAGGTACGGGGAAAGCGTTCACCCCGTCAACGGAAAGTGACAAAACAGCGACTGGCGAGAACGTCGTTTACATTTGAGGGACACGGTCACCGCCCAGTGCAGGTAGAGCGCAGCCACTAGCCAACCAGAAAAGGGAATCCAATAGGGGAGGCGGGAATTTTCCTTGCGAGAGAAGAAGGGTCTTCTCTCTGCTAGAGGTGGAGTCAATCTTAAGGTCGGGGCTCTCTGAGAACCAAATGCCTCAAATTCTGGAAGGAATAAATAAGATGACTCTGGGAGAATGAAAAGTTGTGCAAGCCCAGGCGCGATGAGGCGCACCTGTAGTCCCAGCTACTGGGGAGACAGAGGCTGGAGGATCGCTTGAGCCCAAGAGTTCCAAGCCGCAGTGAGCTGTGATTGCACCTATCAATAGGCACTGTACCACACAGCCTTGGCAACCCCTTCATTAGAAAAAAAGAAAAAAAAAAAGTTGTACAAGGAAAAAATAATCGGCCGGGCACGGTGGCTCACGCCTGTAATCCCAGCACTTTGGGAGGCCGAGGCGGGTGGATCACAAGGTCAGGAGTTCGAGACCAGCCTGGCCAAGATGTTGAAACCCCGTCTCTACTAAAAATACAAAAATTAGCTGGGTGCGGTGGCACGCGCCTGTAATCCCAGCTACTCAGGAGGCTGAGGCAGGAGAATCGCTTGAACCTGGGAGGCAGAGGTTGCAGTGAGCCGAGATCGCGCCATTGCACTTCAGCCTGGGTGACAGGGTGAGACTCCGTCTCAGGAAAAAAAAAAAAAAAAGGCCGGGCGTGGTGGCTCACACCTGTAATCCAAGCACTTTGGAGGCCAAGGTGGGCGGATCACCTGAGGTTGAGAGTTCAAGACCAGCCTGACCAACATGGTGAAACCCTGTCTTTAAAAAAATAATCATAATCATAGGATAATACCTGACTGACCTATAAATATTATTTACATATTAATCATAACGTAAATTCTAATTCTGATCCAACCTAAATCAAGACAGTTCTGTTGGAAGAATGAGAAGGAAATTCCTGCGTGTAATGGAGTGTTTATGTTTCTAACAGAGTTTTGACAGTCCTTCATGATAAATCTATAGAAAATGCCCCAAAATGAAAACTCCATTTCGGAAACATACATATGTTACTTAAAATATAAAATCTGTGAAGAGTAAAAAGCTTTGCAGAACTATTTGACTCCTTAGTAGAATTGCAAAATAAAAGCAAGAACCCCTATGACTCAGGAATTCCACTCCTAGTTATTTACTCAAGAGTAATCAAACTATATGTCCTCACAAAGACTCACAAGAATGTTCATAGTACCTTTATGCATAATAGCCCCCAACAGGAAACAGTCCAAGTGTCCATAGGCAGAGGAATGGATAAGCAAATTCTAGTGTAATCATACCCTGGAATACTACTCAACAATAATAAAAGAACAAATCATAGATGTATGACCCAACATAGATAAATCTCAACCAACTTACTCTGAGGAAAAGAAGCCAGGCAGAAAGAAGAGAGAACATGTTAAATGATTCCATTTACATGGAATAACAAGTGTGGTGAGATGTGGGAGAATTGGAACCTTCACATACTGCTGGTGGAAATGTAAAATGATGCAGCCACTTTGAAAAATAATCTGGCAGTTCTTCAAATGGTTAAACATATTGACCATATGATCCAGCGGTTTCACTCCTGGGTTTATACCCAAGAGAAATAAAAACATGTGACCACACAAAAATGTGTGTATGAATGTTTATAGTAGCATTATTTATAACAGCGCAAAGTGGAAACAACTCAAAACATCCATCAGCTGATGAAGGAAAAAATAAAAGATACTACATCCATACATTAGAATATTACTCAGGTATAGAAAGGGATGAAGTGCTGAAGCATGCTACAACATGAATGAACCTTGAAAACATCCTAAAGGAAGAAGCCAGCCACAAAAGACTGAATATTATATGATTGATTGTATGTATATGAAATGTCCAGATAGACAATCTAGAGGTGGAGGGAATGGCAGGATTAACAGGTGTTAATATACATAGTATGAATAAGAAAAAGATAACCAATATAAAATTGAAAAAACTGAAATAAACAAGCAACTTATAAAGTATGAAATAAAACTAAGGTAAGATTTTTATTCATCCTTAAGACTGGCAAAGATTAAACGACCAAGGTTGTGAGGAAATATGCATTCCAACAGACTTAGCCTTTCTAAGCCTTTTTTAAATATGCAGAGTGAAGGTAATACTTATGTTCACCATCTACAGCTTTTATAGTATTATGTAAGATAAGCAATTATTATGCTTGGCATAGGTGCCTATTCAAAAAATGTGAATACACTTAATAAATATTAGCTAGTAGTTTTCAGTGGAGTTCTTGGGGAACAATGGATAGCAGCTAGTATGGTATATACATTAATAGAACTTTTTTTGGACAACAATCTGGAATTATGTACTCAAATGTTTCATTTTCTTTGGATCAGCAATTCCAATTCTAATAACTTAGTAGAAATTATTGATTTGAGATACAGCGTCCACAAAAATTTCTACCAACCCTTTCTGGGATCCAACTTGGTCAACAGCAAAGCCCCGCCCTTTCCACCCTCTACTGTCCCAAACCCTGTACTGTTCCCCAGAAGCATTCCTAGAGATCGTAGCACCTGCTCCCCACTCCGTAAGGGACGTCGCTCTTTTCCTTCGGAATATGTACACTTTCTCCAAGATGGCCGCCCCCGACGTAACCCGGCTTCGTACTTACAAGCGACAAAACATAGCAGGCCATACTGCGCTTGGTGCGTCTTGCCGGAGAGGATTGGATACGCGTTGTACAGAGACGGGATGGCGCATGCGCCTCGCCGTTGGCCACGCTCCCATTGGACTCAATGCGGACCAATAAAGTTATCGTGGCCAGGGAAAGATGTACGGCCAATCTTTCAAGATGGCGGCCCCCACGTGTATCAGCTACGAGGGCGCGGCCATACTCCCGCGCGGTGTCTTTGTCTAAAAGACCCGAAAGCTGAATCGAAGGGGCTACAGGTGATGACTGGAAGGCTGCAGACTCGGAGGCTCCAGAGGTTAAACTTGACCATTGCGGTGGAGCGGCCGGGCTTGTGAGTCTGAAGCAGAAGTGATGGACCGGGGCTCTTGCGACCCAGCTGCTGCGCCCAGGATCTTTTAAGGGGTCTCAGTTTCGCGTTCGGGGAGCGGAATCAGGAGCTGGGTTTGTGGAGATTTGAGATTTATGTTAGGGGAGTCTGTGGGGGTCCATGAGGGTGGGGAAGCGGAATAGTAGGGAAAGTTGCCAGCTTTTCTCAGGTTGGGATTGGAGTGGGCTGGAGAGATTGGCCTGGGCTACAAGAAGGACGTTAGTGCTTGGGGTTAGCCTTTGCAGGGGAGGTCAGGGATTGGAGCGACCTTGGAGGCAGATCTGTGTTTGGAGTGATCCACAAGGTGATTCAGTGATTGTGATTTTCCCGGGATGTGATTGAGGTATTCAAAGATACCCAATTGTAGAAAATTGGGTGTCTTTGGGGGGGTGTATCAGTACCTTAAGCCTTCTCGGGGAAGTTCAGTTCTTGGGACAAAGCTGAAGGGCGCGATGTCAACAATGGAGACATCCTTGGGGATAAGTCAGTGTTTATGCCCAAAGATAATAACCCCTGTTCTTCGCAGGGTCACTAATTGGAGTGTCCAACACGTGAGGTCCGTGGCTGAAATCTCCTTGAGTTAGATTAGTATTTGAGGCATCTTTGGAGATGGTCAGTGAATTGGGTGGCCTTGTAGGGAGGTCAGGGTTGGGGCAGCCTTTTTTTCTTGCGTTTGAGGGTGTTCAGGAGTTACTAAGAGTTATGAGGGTCTGAGTGCTTGTGTCTCGATAGACTAGTGATAGTTTCCCTGTAGGAATCAACTAGAATGATTTGGGGTGGCCTTGCAGCTGATATTTTCAGTATGATGTAGGCAGGCATGGGTACCAAAGAAATTCATAGGGGATTTGGAGCTTCGGAAGTCTTTGATTTTGCAAGGCACTGGGATTTTAAAGTCCCACTGACTTTTCATAGGTTAAGTTAGTACCTTCTTCAAAATCTGCCTTCCAACTTCCTCTTGTACTCTGAGTCACTCCCCTATTCTTCACAACAATGAAAAGTGATTTGAAATGACCAAAGTCTAAACAGAAATGCATATTATGAAAATTGTGGTGTCTGGCCCTCTGGTCCTCAAACTTATTATGTGTTTTCTTTTTTTTTTTTTTTTTTTTTTTGAGACGGAGTTTCGCTCTTGTTACCCAGGCTGGAGTGCAATGGCGCGATCTCGGCTCACCGCAACCTCCGCCTCCTGGGTTCAGGCAATTCTCCTGCCTCAGCCTCCTGAGTAGCTGGGATTACAGGCACGCGCCACCATGCCCAGCTAATTTTTGTATTTTTAGTAGAGACGGGGTTTCACCATGTTGACCAGGATGGTCTCGATTTCTTGACCTCGTGATCCACCCGCCTCGGCCTCCCAAAGTGCTGGGATTACAGGCGTGAGCCACTGCGCCCGGCCTTAATTTGTCTTTATTCAATAATAAACTAATCTGATGTTGGGTACCAGCCCCAACCCTGTTCGTGGGTGCCCCGAGCCCCGGTGGTGACGAGGGATTGAGAAAGGAAATAAAGACGAAGACACAGAAATAGAGTTAAAGAGTGGGTCCAGGGGACCAACGTGAAGTGTGAGGACCACGTTGGCCCCGAGTTCTGCTTTCCACAGGTTTTCATTAGGTGCACACACTCGTTAATTGAGGGGTGGAAAGCAAGTGGGGGTTATTGGGAGAGGCCTTGAAAATGTTGTGGAGCAAGATAGCAACGGGGAGAAGCGTGCATCATTAGAATACAATGAAACAGGTGGTCTTCTGAGAGAAGCTAATCTAGTACACCTCGTTTTACCACTGATCGTTATCGATATGCACCTGCACCTGAACACAGATGGTAGGGCACCACCAGGTCTGACCACACACGATGCATCAGGGGGCTTCTATCTCCTGAGCACTGTGGACACAGGGCAACTGAGATTACCCCAAATTCTGAGAACAGAGGCAGAGCAGGAGATGTTCCATTATCTCTGCCCGCAACGCCTTCCTGCCCTGCCAGCTCCCATCTGCAAAGACCCTCCTGGATCTTGTGAGCAGAGGTCGCCGACCTTTCCCGAGTGCTACACAAGCCCTGTTTACAAGACCCCTGTGCAGACCTCATGTTGGAAAGGAGTTTGTGGGACCAAGGCAGTGTTTTCCTGCCCTGCAGCCACACCGCGGATGTGCCATGGTTAATGGGGCGCTCTCAGACGGTCTAACTTTAGGCCTCCCATTGCCGCTTCTGCGCGTGCTTTTACAAGCTAACAAGCTGTTCTCTTGTGCTGTGCTTTTCATTCACTATTGTTTATTTTGGATATAAACTTCAGTGCACTGCGAACTGTATAAGCTAATAAGCAAATCAAACTTACATTTATTTAATCAGTAATAGTAGAGACAGCATACGTCTGGCCCTGGTCATCTGGGCCCACAATCTCAGCTTACTGTAACTGTTTTACTCTTTAAACTTTTTAATTTTTTTAACTTTTTCACTCTTTTGTAATAATACTTAGCTTAAAATACAAATACATTGTACAACTGTACAAAAAGTTTTCATTTCTTTATGTCTTTATAAACTTTCTTCTATTTTTCTTATTCTAAAAATTTTTTTACACATATTAGCATGGGCCCACACGAGGCCACGATGATTGATATCACTGTCTTCCACCTCTACATTTTATCCTACCAGAAGGTCTTTGGGGGCAGTAGCACACGCAGAGCTGTCATCTTCGATAATCCTTCCTGAAAAACCTGCCTGAGGCTGTTTTACAGTTAACTTTTTTTTTAATAAGTAGAAAGATAAAAATACCCTAAAATAATGATTTAGTATGGCAAGTACAGGAACCAGTAACATAGTCATGTGTATCATTAACAAGAACTACATACCGTCCGTATTACTTGTGCTATATTTTATATGACTGGCCAAGCAGTAGGTTTGTCTACACTAGCATCACTACCGACAACTGAGTAACACATGCTACTACCTTGAGATGGCTACAGCATCACTAGGTGGTAGGAATTTTTCAGCTCCATTATAATCTTAAGGGACCACAGTTATGTGTCTAACCCATCATGGACTAAAATGTTGTTATGACTGTTTCCCTAGTCCAAGTAATTTGCTGCCATATACCAAGCCAGCCCAAGACCTAGAGATGTGAATTTATTTTTATGATCTTCATGGATTCAGTGAGTCAGCAAGTGACACATGGTGATGGCTTCTGTGTTCTGGGGTTCCTCAGGTTCCATAATTTGCTAGAATAACACAGAGCTCATATATTCATGATCTTATTTTATTATATAGAACTGGATCCAAGTTAAAATCAGTGCAGTTGCCCTACCAACTTTGTAGGGCAGGGTCTGGGAGATGCTATGCGGAAGCTTCCAGTTTTGCTCTCACTGTGGAGTCACATGGGCAATGTTTGATTCTCCTAGCCATGATGTATGGCAACAAACATGGAGTATCGCCAGTCCAGGAAGCCCACTTGAGCCTGGGTGTCCAGGGTTTTTATGTGGGTTTAGTTATATGGGTGAGGCTGACCACATGAGTGGCTGACCTCATTCTTCAGCCTCTTCAGAGGCCACCATGCTAAGGTGTAGCCCAAGGCTCCCATCATGCATTGTTAGCATAGACTATCTTGTGTCACCCAAGGCTCCCAGTAAACAAAGACACTCATCAGGAAGTATATTCCAAGGGCTTAGAGTAGGGGTGTCCAATCTTTTGGCTTCCCTGGGCCACACTGGAAGAATTGTCTTGGGCCACACATAAAACATGCTAACATTAACAATAGCTGATGAGCTTAAAAAAAAAAAACCTGAGAAAAATCTCATAGTTTTCAAAGCCCTCCTGGAGGCCAGGCGCAGTGACTCATGCCTGTAATCCCAGCATTTTGGGAGGCCGAGATGGGAGGATCCCTTTAGGGCAGCAGTTCGAGACTAGCCTGGCCAATGTGGTGAAACTCCATCTCTACTAAAAATACAAAAAATCAGCTGGGCATGGTGGTACATGTCTGTAATCCCAGTTACTCCAGAGGCTGAGGCAGGAGAATTGCTTGAACCCGGGAGGTAGAGGTTGCAGTGAGCTGAGATCGCGCCATTTTACTCCAGCCTGCATGACAAGAGCTACTACTTGGGAGGCTGAGGCAGAAAAGTTGCTTGAACGCAAGAGGTGAAGATTGCAGTGAGCCGAGATTGTGCCCCTGCACTCCAGCCCAGGCAACAGGGTGAAACTCCATCTAAAAACAACAAAATAAAACAAAGCCCTCCTCGGCCGTGTGCACCCCATGGTCCACAGGTTGGACAAGCTTGGTTTAGAGGTTACCTCCCAGGGACAGGCAAGGCTGAACCTTTCTTTGGAATGTTCAGCATACGGGCAACCCAGACTCGCCCTGTTAATTCTTTACTGCACGGCTTGTCTTCACACCATGATGTCTTGAATCTCACTCAGCTGGAAGACTCAGAGGTTGGGGACTGGAATCATCTGAAGGCTTCCTCCTGTCTGTATTTGTGCACCAGGCTGGGATGACTTGAAAACTAGGCTCAGCTGAGGCTGTCAACCAGAGCACCTGGGCACGGCCTCCTCATGTGTTGTGGGTGGGCTTCTCACAGCATGGTGCTAGTTCTGAGACAGCCAAGATGCAGCTCCAGGGCCTTTTCTACCTTAGCCTCAGAAGTTATGTTGTGTCACCTTTGTTTCATTCTGTAGGTACAAGCAAGCCACTAAGACTAGCCAGATTCAAGGGGAAGGGAATAGGCTCCATCTCTTGGTATGGGAGTGGCCAGGTGACATAGCAGAAAGTTTTCTTTGCAACGTGAGATATTATTGTAGTCATCTTTGGGAAATGCAGTCTACCATGTGGACACAATAAGAAATTGTTTCCTTCTCTGAAGAGAAAGCTCCTTTAGAAAAGTAAATATTTCGGCCGGGCACGGTGGCTCAAGCCTGTAATCCCAGCACTTTGGGAGGCCGAGGCGGGTGGATCACGAGGTCTAGAGATCAAGACCATCCTGGTCAATACGGTGAAACCCCGTCTCTACTAAAAATACAAAAAATTAGCTGGGCATGGTGGCACTTGCCTGTAATCCCAGCTACTCAGGAGGCTGAGGCAGGAGAATTGCCTGAACCCAGGAGGCGGAGGTTGCGGTGAGCCGAGATCGCGCCATTGCACTCTAGCCTGGGTAACAAGTGTGAAACTCCGTCTCAAAAATAAAAAAAAAAAAAAAAAAGACAATCAGTCTATGGTGTACTTGTTTTCTAGTAGCCTAACCTGAAAGAAAATCATGAACTTATCATTTAACTTCAAGGACTTTATATCGCTTAATGTATAATAAAATAATCTTACAATAGTATATCTCTGTTTCTTGTGACCAGGTCAGTGTCAGTGAAAAGACTGTCTTCTAGATGCTACTGGAATACATACTTGAGGTATGGGTAATCTTGATTTTACACAAAAAATTCACCCTAGCATTCCTAACTCCATTTATCTTTGTATACTTTATAATGTATGAGGAAATATCTGGCATTTAAACTTCATTTAGTGTAGGCAAATTTTTAGTCCAAGTTTCAGCCAGCCAACCAAGTCAACTGTTAGCACCACTCAATTTAGGTCACACACTGAAATTGCCAGTAGAATGTAATCTCCATGAACGAGGGTCTTTGTGCCTGTTTCCAGCTTTTGTGTTCCCAGCACGCACAACAGTGTTTGACACATAATAGGCATTTTATAAACGTTCGTTGGATAAATGAGTGAATGATCAATCCCTTTAAAGGTTCCCTGAGGCAGGTTGTAAAATTATAGGGAGCAGGTTTGGTGCTAGAATTCATCAATTTTTTTTTTTTTTTTTATTTTTTTTTTTTTTTTTTTTGAGACAGAGTTTCACTCTTGTTACCCAGGCTGGAGTGCATTGGCGCGATCTCGGCTCACCGCAACCTCCGCCTCCTGGGTTCAGGCAATTCTCCTGCCTCAACCTCCTGAGTCGCTGGGATTACAGGCACGCGCCACCATGCCCAGCTAATGTTTTGTATTTTTTTAGTAGAGACGGGGTTTCACCATGTTGACCAGGATGGTCTCGATCTCTTGACCTCGTGATCCACTCGCCTCGGCCTCCCAAAGTGCTGGGATTACAGGCATGAGCCACCGCGCCCGGCCGAATTCATCAATTTAATCGATCAGCTGAGCGTCAATATCGAATAGAATCATGTCCTCTTCAGAGTTTTGATTTCAGGTAGCTCCCACCTTCGTGGATGTAAAGGCTTATTCTGCCTTTGACTTTTCCAGGGCGGCAAAACCATGTTTTAGTGTTGGCTCCCCACTTTGGTCGGCGGCTGTGATCAACCGCGTTCCCCAGACTCCACACCAATTATAACCAAAGCTTTAACACACCGTCGTTTTAGCCATCCTGTCACTGACTCCTTCCTCGGAGGCTAAGTCTGACGTAGATACAGAGATACCTCTTAGGCAGTTCTCAAAGGCTGCTTTCTCCATAAGGCCCCTCCAGCCAGAAGCATCCTCAGGATAATAGCCACTCCGATTGTTGCTCGAGGTCCCTCCCTCTTGAAATTCCTCTAAGATTGCCGCGCCCACATGGTTTCTTTCCATTCTTTTTAGGATCAAAGTGCCTAAATGTCTGTGACCATCTTTACCCTGCCTGCCGAAAGATCAGGGCAGGCTTGAGCCTTTGAGAAACTAAGCAGTTTATGTAGCGCCCCTGGCGAATGTTGAAAAGCCAAGGTCCAGCAGTTCACCTGGCATGGGAAAGGGTGGAATGGGACGTTTTCAATTGCTTTTCGTCGACAGAGTCTGCCTACGGCGCAAAAAGGGGGACTCCTCCTGCTGTACGGCGGTAGGCTTGAAAATGGCTGCTCCCAGCAAGCATCCCTTGGGCGCAACATATTGCATCATAAAGGGACGGCCCGCGCCGGTTTCCGAGTCTCTGGAAAAACGCGGTGTGACCCTAGACGGCCGCCATCCCTAAAGCCTGCGAGGGTCGCGTTTGTAGCGTGCGGGGGTCGCGGGGTGGCGGGCTGAGGTGAGCGTTTAGAGATTTAGGGTCCGTGACTCGCCTCCAGCGGTGGCGACAGAGGTCACTGGTCAGGTCTGCGTGGGATTCTGGGAGTGTCTCGGGGCCAGGAAGAGCGCGTTGGGGTTTTTCTGTTGCTCGCTAGCGCGGTGGGGGTTCGTGTTGCGGGGAGCCCTGGGGAGTCCTCGCTGGGGGTTCGTTTCACAGAGTCGTGCCGGGGTTCCCCGAGTCGGGGAGCCTGTGGGCTCCGCGTTGGGACGAGCGCTTGGGAGGTCGTGGAGGGAAAGCGAATGATGTTAGTGTTGGAGACAGCTCGGGGCAGTTCGTGTTCATTATTTATCACATGCGTACTTAAAAAGGGGTTTGCTGGTCCCCTTGCTTCCATGCTACTATATATTCTATAGAAAGTTTGCTTTCAGGTTCATTGCGACCCAAGTAACGACCTCCCCATCATCTTAAAAACTTCTCCAGAAAACAGCTCTTGTTTAGCGTATTTCATGTTTAGTGTTGGGATCAGGTGTCTAGGTATTGGTATAATTTTATTCCTATTTAATCTAACATTTTGTCAACTACGTATTCCCATATTACTTGCTCTTTGAGAGTTTTCTTGTTTAAACTGCTGCAGTTTCATCAAGTGGTTACTTTAATTTGGGGAGAATTGATGTAGATGTAGATCCAACACTTTCAGGAATATGTGATGGATTTCCATTAACCCAACACTTTTTTTTTTTTTTTGAAGACAGAGTCTTGCTCTGTCGCCAGGCGCCAGGCTGGAGTGCAATGGTGCGATCTCCGCTCACTGCAACCTCCGCCACCTGGGTTCAAGCAATTCTCCTGCTTCAGCCTCCCGAGTAGCTGGGACTACAGATGCGTGCCACCATGCCCAGCTAATTTTTATATTTTAGTAGAAACGGAGTTTCACTATGTTGGCCAGGTTGGTCTCGATCTTTTGACCTTGTGATCCGCCCGCCTCGGCCTCCCAAAGTACTGTGATTACAGGCATTAGCCACCTTGCCCGGCCAACCCAAGATTTTTATTTCTTTGACTAGCTGTAGTATTTTTCCATACGTATCTTGGACTTTTCTGGTTATGCTTATTTCTACATAGTTAATACTTTTGTTGTAAATCGCGACTTCTTTCTTTTTGCATAAGGTCTTTCCCGTTTTTCTTTTTTTGTTCCTAATTTTACTTAGTGGACAAGAGCAGAAATTAAAAGTATACATGTTTATTTTGTCACTTCATTCTACTCATGGCATTACACATAACTTATAAATTGATGTCTTTCTGTTTTCTAGTTGGGCATTTTTGTCACCTGTAAATAATTTTAGCCAGGTGGCAAGTGTATATGGAATAAGAAGAACCTGTTTCTGCCTCTAACTTGGGTAGTCTGAGTCAGTTTCCTTATTTGTGGAAAAAAAGCTGTCATAATTTCTATTTCATAGAATCATTATGAAGATCAAGAGAGCAAATGTTCTTTATGTACAAAGTGTAGTACTAGGCACGTAATAGGGTCTGAATAAATAATAACTCTGATTTACCAAGTTTTTATTTCCCTTTCCCAAGGGCTTTTGATCTTTACAATTATTTTCATTTATATTTTTTCTCTTTAAAATTTTCTTTGATTTATGTTGCTCTATTTCCCAATTTCATATATTCCTGGGGGGGGAAAACCATACTTTTTCTTAATGGTTTGTTCTTTTAATATGAGACTGGATTTTATTTGCTAATATTTTATTTAATATTTTTGCATCGGGAAATGAAATGATGCCTTACCTGTTTTGTCCTTTGTTTCCCAGTGGATCTGTGGAAGCTTGTAAAAGACAGTCTGGTTAGATGATATACTGAATACCGATAAAAATCAGGATTTGTCGGAAAATGAGTTGTAATCTTAAAATCCTGACACATTAAGAATTGAGATATATAGATCAGGGGGTTTGTGCGAAGTTTTTTTTTTTGTTTGTTTGTTTGGAGGAGTCTTGCTCTGACACCCAGGCCGGAGTGTAGTGGCTCCATGTTGGCTCACTGCAACCTCTGCCTCCCAGGTTCAAGTGATTTTCCTGCCTCAGTCTCTCCAGTATGTGCAGAGTTCTTATGTCAGAACACAGCTAAGTGACTGTTAAGACCCTGTGGGGTTTTCTTTCCTTTAAACTGTGTCTCCTTTGTTTTTTTGGCAGTGGAAATAACGGGAAACACATGAAAAATGCCATGATTATAATGTCTGTGAGGAGAGAGCAAGGCAGTTCTTCAGGGCAGGTAAACATGTTTATTGCTGTTAGATCTTGAGAAATGTCTTACCTTTAGAGAGCTTTTGTGGTTGACAGTGTCTTCAAATTCTGCCTCGTAATAAAGGCATGGGACATTTTCTTTGGCTTTTTCCTATTATTTAGTGGGGTAAGCTAAGGAAAACTGGATTGGACAAAATTCTTTGGAAACTGTGCCTTGAAAATACAGGCTTCTGGTCATCTGACTTTGCCCAGGAATAAGCCTGGAGCATCCAGTAGAATTAATGGGCTGCTTAACCTTTGAATGATCCTCCATGAAGAAGAATTCTCTCAACCATAACATATCAATACCAACCATATTTTTGTTATTAATACAGCGGAGACAACTAAAAGCTCCATTCTTTGGTAACAGCTTGGAATGCAGATACTGACAGTGCTTCTTTCTTACCTTTTTAACTCTCAAGGTTCAAAAAAGCACCAGTTATGCTTGTTTTGGTTTTTTGTATGTTAACAACTGAAGTGATACATAGCTACATTTGCATGCAAGAGATTCAAGCAAACAGAAGCATTTATATCAAAAGACACTATCTCCTTTCACCCTTTTTCTGCCCAAACTTCAACCCAAAGGGTAATAAGTGGTGATAGTTTTGGGTCTCCATCCAGTTCCTCCCTGTGATTGACATGTGATAGAATATATTTATATACATTTCTGTATACATACATGTATGTACTTACACATGTAGAATTGTGTATATTATTACCTTTTTTTTCTTGAAATGGAACCTTGCTCTGTTGCATAGAGCTGGAGTGCAGTGGCGTTATCTTGACTCACTGCAACCTCTGCCTTCCGAGTTTGAGGAATTCTCCTGCCTCAATCTCCCCAGTAGCTGGGATTACAGGCGTGCACCACCACACCCTGCTAATTCTTGTATTTTTAGTAGAGATGGGGTTTCACCATGTTGGCCAGGCGGGTCTGGAACCCCTGACCTCAGATGATCTGCCCTCCTTGGCCTCCCAAAGTGCTGGCATTACAGGCATGAACCACTGTGCCCAGTTACATTATTACATTTTTTTTAACATGTCTTAGATCATATATTATTTGGGAGCTTAATTTTTTTTTCATTTAAGAGAAAGCCTTGGAGATCATTGATATTCATATGTATACGTATACATCTGCTTCATTGATTTTAACATTTTTGTAGTATATTATAGCATGGAGGTGCTGTAATTTAACCCTGTCTGTGTTTGGTAGACATTTAGATTATTGATAAGGTTTTCATTATTAGAAACAAAAGAATAATGAACATTCTTATTGCACATTGTTTCGTATCTATGCAAATACTGCCTTAGTGCTTTTTGAGGGTGGGAAGAATTAGTGGAATTCCATGGTCCTATGGTATGTGAAATAGTTGTGTTGTGCATAATTTGTCATGGAGAAAAGGATCAAGACATGTCTGTGTCCCTCTTTTCTACATCATCTATTGTTATCCACTTCAGATTTTATTGGAATTGTTATTATAGGGATTATTGTCATTCGAAGATGTGGCTGTGGACTTCACCAGGGAGGAGTGGCAGTTTTTGG